TCTGCCTACAGTCTTTGTCACTGGCAGCAAAGATGTCCACATTCTCATCCAGAAGGCACCTCAACCGCTGGCGCTGGTCGACGTTGAGGCCTACGCTGCTGCGCTGCCAAAGGTCATCAACAGCCTCGATGGTCTCGGTCGAGGGAGGTTTGTTGGGCTGAGAGGCTGAGGCTGAGGCTGAGGCGAGTGGAGATGACCCAGAGCCACCGGCATCCGAAATCTGCTGTGCGGCAGGTGCCCGACGCCTGTCTCGTCTGGTCCCCTTCGCTCCCTGCTTTTGGCCGCGCTGGAGGGCAAAAGTCTCTGCGCCAAGAGTGATAGCCAGCTTCACGGTGTCGACGCAGGCCCCCCCAGCGGCTCAGCAGATCCAGGCCAATGATGCACCGGTCTTGAATGTCGCGAGCCAGAAGTCGTGCACCAGCTCCAGATCCTTCACTCGGATCCGCAACGGTTTCTTCCCCCGCATAACAGTTTTCTCCCCCGTCACTGTCATCAGCTGGGTGTCTGTGGGCAACCAACCCTTCACCAGTGGCCCGGATGTTCCAGGGGCACGCCAGGTCGTATCAGGGAAATGGTAGACCCCGTGTCCACCAGGGCCTAGCATGGCTGGTCCTCAACACAGCAGCTCAGGTAGAGTCCCTTGAGGTGCCCAACTCGGCCCACCACCGTGCATCGTCCTTGGAGGGGGGCAGGAAGCTGGAGCGGTGGTCCCCTCGCTACACCGCTCCCTCCTCGTTTCCCTGAGGCTGTGTAATTCTGGTCTTCGGGGCTGGTGCTGGGCAGTCATGCGCCACGCGGCCAGGCTCATCGCACTGGTCGACGAGGATGCCTCCGGGGCACCGAGGGTTGCAGCTGGGATATCTCGGCAACCTTCCCCTCCCCGTCGCAGTCTGCGGCTCTGATTTGGGGGTAGTTTGGGGGGGGGGGCACCTGCTGGTTAGGTCGCGAGGTGAGCACCAGCCCTGAGGCATGGCCAGGCGGACGTGTTGGCGTTGTCGCTCTGGGAAAAGTCCTTGCAGAAAAGCATGCAGGCTAAGCTCCTCACGGGCTGCTGCTGGAAACTCCGGATAGCCACAACGAGCATACAGCAACACGTCTGCTGCAAAGGTGCCCAGGCTCTCCTCCGGCCAACGGCTCCGGTTGGTCAGCCGCTCTCTGCTCTGATCAGTGGAGTACCGCTGCCCGAATCGCCTCTCGAGTGCCGCGGTGAGGGCCTGGAGCTCATGCTGCCCTGCCGGGGCTAGGTCAAGGAGTATCTGCAGTGCATCTCCCTCTAATGCTAGCGCTAGGTGTGTAGCAGTCTCCTCTTCGCTCCAGCCACTATGTCTGGCAGCCAGCCGCACTTGTGAGAGGTAGGGCTCTAGCGGGGTTAGCCTATTGTATTTCGGTACCTTAACTGGCGTGGTAGGCACAACTGCTCGCGGTTGGGGGCTCGGCGTGTTGGTCGACAGATGTAGCCCATGAAGCATTGCCCTAGCGTCTGTCGTGACGGGCCACCGCCGTGGTGCGCTCGCGCCATCGGGACCCGTCGGGGGACTTACATGGCCACTCACATCCTCTCTCTTCAATCGCCAGCTTCCCACGTGGGGAATGTTCTCCTCGACAGCTTGCCCCAGCCTCTGAATGTCTCTCTCCATTACGGCGAGGGTGAGCTATCCCACTTCTGACACCAATGTGGCAAGCTCAGACAAGGAGGAGACAGAATTCCATTCGGTCTTGCTCCCCCGCCCTCTTAGACAGGGAGCACCGCCATTTATTTACATCTGCCAGAAGAACACTGCCGCTAGCTCACTGCTCAGCGCGGAAACAGCACAGCAACAACAACAACACACAGGGCGCCCTCTGACCCTGGAAGGACACACCGTCGCAGCAAGAGGGCGTCACCCGTCACTATGGTAACATAAACCAAACATAACTGTAAAAACAGAACCCCGAACAGCCCTGACCCGCTACAATACCATATATACACATATATAAATACAGAGAATACAAAAGGGATAAATAGAATAAATAGGAATAAGAATACAAGGGAACGGCACATTTCAAGTGAGTCTATTGAACATACATTTATTACTCTCAGATTTAGCCATTCTTATATTTTGCTTGTTTTATGTTATTGTATTTTTTGCACAACTCTGTTGCTTGTGAAGCTTGCACACAAGAATTTCACTCACATGTACTGTACCAGTGTACCTGCACATGTGAAGTGACAATAAAAGTGATTTGATTTATTACACCGTTGGTTATTAACAAAAACTATTGCACAGTGAAAAGGCACTACAGCTTACTTGTTCCCCCATCCTTTGTCCCCGTCTCCCCTCCCTCTCCCCTCCAGCGAGGAGTTAAACAGTTTAATGGCGTGTGGGACAAAGGACTTTTTAAGTCTGCTGGTCCTTGACTTTGGGAGAAGCAACCTGTCACTGAACAGAATCCTCTGGTTGTTTATGGCCGTGTGCAGAGGATGCAGAGGCTGCCCAGCATGGTCCATAATGTCCATATGCACCTTAATTTGTTTTTGTATAAGTGAGTGAAATGAGTCTTCAGTTGAATGTTTTTTAATAGGCAAAAAATACTTAAATAAATAAATGGTGAGTAGAATTTTTGTCTTTTTTTTCTATTTTTGCTTATCCGAAAATTTATCCTATCCGTGACTTAAAAGCGTGATCCGATCCGAACCGTGAGATTTTTGATCCGTTGCACCACTAATTCTGATGCTGATAAGGAAGACTAAGTGACTGAGTAAAAGTACAAATGAAGGCATTCGTGTCAGGGTGTTTTTGATTACTGAAAAAATATAATGATGCTTTAATCCTTATTTGTTTTGGGGTTTTTTATTTTTTTTACCAGTAAGGGTTGTCAGAGCCCAACCAAAAGAAATTATTGTCCTCTTGGTTTTCCTTCAAGGATACCCATTACCCAATGTGGCACTCAAAGGAGAAGCTACCCAGTCATCTACACTCTCCTTTGCCACTGCGTCCAAAGCCATCGATGGCAGACGGAACTCGTTCTATAGCAATGGGTTCTGTAGCCACACGGCTGAAGACGAGACCAACCCCTGGTGGAGGGTGGACCTGCAGCGAAGCTTTACAATCACTGCTGTAAAAGTCACCAACAGAGGAGACTGCTGTGCTGAAAGACTGGATGGAGCTGAGATCAGAATAGGAAACTCACTGGAGAACAATGGAAACAATAATCCCAGGTAATGATGAATTTATATCAGTCAATGGTCATTATGATTTTTGTTTATTTATTTGTTTTATTTTACATTAATTTAAACAGAAATATTTCAGAGATTACAACATAAATATTATCCACCACATGCTGCTCTAGTTCAGGACTCCATGCAATTCATGATCAGGGATTGTAACATCTATTCCTTTTTCTGAATCAAAAATAAAACAAACAAGCAAATGTTTCAGAGATTAGAGTCTACATATTATCCACCACATGCTGATTATTGCTCTTCTAGTTCAGGACTCCATGCTACCTCCTTAACATGAAGTCCACAATACTAACATAATACTGCCCCCCACACTCTCTGCTGTCAGGTGTGCTTCCATCTCACATATCAAAGCAGGTAAAACCTACACATACCGGTGTGATGGAGGCAGCATGGAGGGTCGCTTTGTGAACGTGTTTCTTCCTGGACAGAAGAAGACTGTCACCCTGTGTGAAGTGGAGGTGTATGCTGCCCCAGCAGGTAGAGCTTTAAGTGACTGGATCTGATCTACTGAAAGACGTCTGCCTTTTACTGATTCATGCCCATTTTTTCCTTTCAACAATTTAGTGGAGCCGCTTCAAAATGTGGCCTTAAACAGAGAAACAGTACAGTCATCTGTTATTGCAGCATATGGGCCTTCAAAAGGTGTCGATGGATGCAGAAATGGAAACTTGGACTCAGGATGCTGTACACATACTTTAGAAGATCTGGATCCCTGGTGGAGAGTAGACTTGTTGGCTGTCTATAAAGTCAGTGCTGTCACCATCATCAACAGACAGGATGCTGTTATAGAAAGGATTCTTGGGGGGAAGATCCTGATCGGGAACTCGCTGGATCAAAATGGTAACCAAAACCCCAGGTGTGATCTGATTTCTGAGCATTTCTCCATAACCATTAAGTTAAATTTTTTTCTGTACTTAAACAACAACAAACTAATGTTTGAACATAGATTAGAAATTAAAACTGACATTTTCTTTGTTGTTTCTCTAAATCCATAAGTTGTGGCATGATCGAATCATTAGATGGTACACCAACATACACATTCCAGTGTAATGCAATGGAAGGTCGCTACGTCAATGTGATCATACCAGGAATTAAGAGATATATGACTCTGTGTGAAGTGGAGGTGTTTGCTTCTCTATCTGGTAGGGTCTTGGGATGTTATTTTTGGAAGTTCTTTGGTTGTTGTGTGTGCTTAAATTATGGTAACATTTTTACTGTTGTTACCCTTTTTTCTAATATTTTATCTTTGCTCACAGTTAGCTTTCGGTGTCCAATTTTAATACAGAACATTGCAATTTAAGATGTTAAAATAAACGGAAAACAATACAAAACCAAATATGGTTTCTAATAAGAATAATTCCCTGCAGTGCCAGATGTTGTCATTCCTCCACCTCCTCCCAGCCCTCCTCCCACTGTGAGCCTGCAGCTTGGTGGCAGGAACGTGACGGTGGTGGGAGAGAGGCTCTGCTGGTCTGATGCTCTGATGTACTGTAGACGTTATTACTGGGACCTGCTCAGCCTTCACAACCAACAGGAGCAAAGCGAGTTGGAGCAGCTGCTGAGCCTCGTTCCTTTCTCCCTCACTGACCATGTCTGGCTGGGACTGCGCAGGTACTGATAGCTATAGATGCATTTAGTTGATGTACATCTACAGATCAGTGAATCAGCATGACAAAATATAAATGAGATGGTGGAGCTCTCCAATCACAAGTGTAATAAAAAAATCTATTAAAGAACTAGAAATAATGTCAGATGACCTCAAGGAAATCAAAGAAATAACAAAATCAAAACAAGAAAAGCTAGAAAGAAATGTGAACAATGTATGAAGAAAATGAAAATAACTACCACTTGTTCAAAGAAGAAATGATCTCTGATAACAATAAAAATTTTCTTATAGAGTGCCGAATCACAACAACAGCCTCAAGGTGCTTTATATTATAAGGTCGACCCTACAATAAAAAAGAAAAGAAAAACCCAATATTATGAACCCCTATGAGCAAGCACTTTGGCAACAGTGGGAAGGAAAAACTCCCTTTTAACAGGAAGAAACCTCCAGCAGAACCAGGCTCAGGGAGGGGCGGCCATCTGCTGCGACCGGTTGGGGTGAGAGAAGGAAGACAGGATAAAGACATGCTGTGGAAGAGAGACAGAGATTAATAACACGTATGATTCAATGCAGAGAGGTCTGTTAACACATAGTGAGTGAGAAAGGTGACTGGAAAGGAAAAACTCAATGCATCATGGGAATCCCCCGGCAGCCTACGTCTATTGCAGCATAACTAAGGGAAGATTCAGGGTCACCTGGTCCAGCCCTAACTATGTGCTTTAGCAAAAAGGAAAGTTTTAAGACTAATCTTAAAAGTAGAGATAGTGTCTGTCTTCTGAATCCAAACTGGAAGCTGGTTCCACAGAAGAGGGGCCTGAAAACTGAAGGCTCTCCCTCCCATTCTACTTTTAAATACTCTAGGAACAACAAGTAGGCCTGCAGTGCGAGAGCGAAGTGCTCTAATAGTGTGATATGGTACTGTAAATCTATAAGTCAGATGCTTTGTTTTGTTGTGTGTACTCATTTCCACAGCTGCCTTTCCCAGACAACAGCAAACCTGCTCTAACATAGGGGTGGCAGAAACTTAATTGACATTATTTAATCCACAAGAAATTTGAAGGAAATTTCTATTGATTGATTTGTACACTTTGATTTGTACACTTTTTTTTTTTGTAGTGAAATTCTTCTTATTTTCTTTTTTTTTTACTCCTAACAAAATGTATTTAGTGTCTTCCTGACAATACAAATTAGTAATATATATTGTTATTTTAAAGATATATATCAATCATGTAGCTTTTGTCAAACTCAATGTAAACAAGTGCTGCCTATGCTCTATCAATAGCAGTTTATCCATTCAGTTTAAATCTGTTCATATATTTTTCTCTGTCCAAAAGATCCCTCAGAGCAGACGAGTGGTTCTGGATGTCTGGATATTCATTGAATTTCTTAAATTGGCCACAAGATTTTGTTCCTGGCAGCTACTCCAGCACCTGTGGAGGCGTGGCCAGCACAGAGCACTTCCTCTGGCAGGACCAGCCCTGTGGGGAGAACCTCAACTTCATCTGCCAATCAGGTTTTACTTGCAACATGTTGGCTTGTGTACAACCCTTGTGCATTGCCTTAATTTAAATATAACTCATGTCCTTTCAGGTTCTGACGATGCTGTGCAGAGAGTTTATTTCTCCAGCACCAAGGATCCAACAAATCCATAAAGGAGATGACACAGTAGAAACTGTGATGCATAGTTATTTTTGTTAGAAATAGTTTATATTTGAATTTGTTTTGCACTCTTTTAAATTCTGGCAAAAATTCAGTAACTGCATAGAACACTGTTTATCTTTTTCATATCGCAATAACAATAAATGCCTGCAAAAACTAGGTCCACGTTATAGTATAGTACACTATAGTATCTGTAGTATGGACCAAAGTGATGAACTTACTCTTGTTTTCTCTTCTATGGTCACCTGGGTTGGAAAAAATTTAAGGAGCTGTTGTTATGTGTGATAAAGATTAGTTTGTGACAAATTGTAATGTGAATGTGTTTTGTTTAACATTGATAAGATGGATTTAATGGATTGATGTGTGTGTGTGCAGTGCTAACAATACAGTGAAAAAAAAAGTTAATTGAAGTCTTCCAAATGCAGAAGTGTTAGACTGATGGTAAGAAGGTAAAGAACCTTCCAGGCCTAAAGGTGTATAGACTTCTGGGTGAGTCCAACAGATACAGGATATGATGTATGCTGGTGGTAAAAAGGTTTTAAAACTATTGATCTGAACCTTTTTGTTTGTTTGTGGAAGCAATCTGCTTAAACATACATGTGTCATGAATGTGAGTGTGCTCATGAACCAAAGCAAATAAAGGAGTCCAGTATGTGATTGGTAATCCTCATAAGAAAACTACAGAAGTAACAAGAAAGTCTGCCTGTCATTTAAATTGTATCACTAATCGCTGTTTAACTTAATATAATAAATATTACACTAGCTTGGCCTATGTCCTCATTTTAGCTTTGACAGCGTTTTTTAGTAGATAAAGGCAAATGGCTTAAACATGGACTGAGCTGTGGTTTGGGGAAGGCATCGGAGGGCACAGACACGAGAACAAACAGCTTGTGTAACCTGTGGGGGTCATATGATTGGAGGCAATGTTTGGAGGCAAATATGAGTATGGGGCACTTCACTGGTATGTGAAAAATATCTTAAAATGTATTTAATGATGTAATTTTTATAGCAATAATATGAATAAATGTCATCCTAGTAATAGTATGGCTCAGTGGATAGCACTGCTGGATCACAGCAGTAGTGCTAGCACTGATCCCGATCAGGATCTGTGCCCCAAGAATCTTTTCTATGTCTGTTGATAGCACTGATGAGGTTTCTGGGTTGTAAACCTTGGTGGAGCCCTTCTTTGTGGAGTTTGTATGTTCTTTATTCGCCCGTTCTTTCACAGCCTAGCCACAGTCAGCCTAGCACACTATTACCAAGGAGAATCTCAATCTAAAGAGTTCACTTCCTCATTAAATAAATGCAAAATAAAGGAATAATAAAATTGATGCAGAACAGAGTGAATTCTACACCAGGCCCGATGTTGTTGGAATCTCAGCTGGAAATTCACCAGTGATAAGTGATACTGAAAGTAAAGAAGAAAATCATGAGATCTTTTTATTTACTGTAGCACACGTGCCAAATACTGATTCATGCCTTTTCAAACCTTTCTACAATCTTGTGGAACTGCTTTAGAATGTGCCTTTAAACAGTGCTATAGGCCACTCTCCACAGAGAGGACACTATACTCATGCTGCCGAAGATCTGGCTCCCTGGTGGAGAACAGACTGTCTATAAAGTCAGTGTTGTTCAAGGTTCAAGGTTCAAGGTTCTTTATTTGTCACATGCATAGTTATACAAGTATAACACACAGTGAAATGTAACCTGACACGCTCGACATGTGCAAAAAATTGGGGGGGGTAGAGGAAGAACATTATATATATATATATATA